GCCCCCCCGCCGCCCGCCAGTTCCCCATGGAGGTAGGTGGGAGCCTTGCAGCCGCGGGGCTACAAACACACCCCGAACTGAGAGCAGTTTTTGGTAGCTCGTGGCATTTGTGCTTGCTGCAGCCACTCATCTGATGCTGCTTCCCAGCCCCACTCCCCTTCAAGGCAGCTCCCTTGCTTTGAAGAGCTTTGATCTTCCCAAACCTCCCACGGGAGCGGCAAATCCGCCCAGACTCATGGTTGGGATTTCCCAGGCGAGACTGGCTCCGTGCTGCCCGTCCCCGGGCTGCCTGGGGCGATGCGGGTGCCCCGACGTTGCCACCTTGCTGCGTGCCTGCGCTCAGCCCCTCTGTGCTCTCCCCAGCTCCACATCGTCCACATCAACATCAACTACCGGACCCTCGGGGAGGCCAAGGGGCACCCGAATGGGCTGGCCGTGCTCGGCTTCTTCTTCACGGTAGGTGCTGGGCGGGCTGGGAGCTCCAGGGCAGCCCCTCTCTGCCCACTGCACCCTGGAGCCAGCCGGGTCTGGGGTGGTGGGGCCACACGTGGTCAGCTCGGTGCAGGTCTGAATCTTCCTGCCCCGAGTGGAAACCTCCTGTTGGTCTAAACCAGCATGGGAAATGACCAGAGGATTTGGAGCAGAGCTGCCTGAGCTGCACTTGTCTTCCTGGGAAATGCTGGTTTCTGGGAGCTTCCCATGGGAACATGCTTGGTGCCAGTGCTGGGGAGGGGCTTCTTACAGCTGCTGGGAGAGAGTGAGAAAGTGTCGTGGCCAAGGGGGCCTCCTGCCCCTCAATGTCCACAAAGCTCTTGGGTTTGCCTCAGAAGAGGCTCTAATTTCTTGGAATTTGCACAGTTGCACAGCCAGGAGGGCTGCTTAGGGCAGGAGGTGGTGGTGGCCTTGGAGGGGAGCAGTGCTGGAAGTCCCTTGTATCCCTTGCATGTCCTGTCTGCTGGGACCCGGGGCTCAGGGACCTGCATGGTGTCAGCTGCTCCGTGTAAGCACTGACCGCTGGCTGCTCTTCCCCGCAGGTCTCAGAAACAGACAACTCCAACTACAACACCATCGTGGCTGGTCTGAGGAATGTGTCTCACCACGGTGAGGTGTCCTCACCTGGTCTGTGCTAGGACAGGGGAGAAATCCTGATCTGGGGGTGACGATGGTGGGACTCATGGTGCCGACTCCTGCTGTCTCTGCAGGGGACTCTGTGGATCTGGCCTCTACCTTCCGCCTCAGCAACCTGCTCCCGCGTGCTGGGCAGCTCTCCAAGTACTATCGCTACCAGGGCTCCCTGACCACCCCCGACTGCAGTGAAGTCGTCGTCTGGACCGTGTTTGAGGAGCCTGTGGCCATCAGCCAGGCGCAGGTAACGGTGCAGGGCACTCTGGCTCTGCTTCCCCTGGGGAAAAGCCCCGGCATTGGAAGCTTCTAGCTGCTGGGTTGGTGCTGTGGATGGGGCTGTGGATGGCCTCATCTGCCAAAGCGCTGCTCACCAGGCTGCTGGCGCATGGTCCGGTACCTCACACAGCCCCTTTCATGCCATTCTCCTCATATCTGAGCTGTAGTACAAGGAAAACAGTCTCTGCCCTAAAGCTCTTGTCGCGCAGGCTGTTTCTGCAAGGGTTAGTGGTGGAAGCGCAAGCACCCACTGGCACTGTGGAGCCCTGCGCGGGTCCCCGGGTGATGTGCACGTGCCCCGGCACCCCACAGAAAGCACAGGGCCAAACCTGGGCGATGGCAGCACCCCGTAATGCTCCGAAATGCCTCTGTGCGCATGACTGGGGGTTGGCAGCCATGATGCGGACTCGGGGCAGCTCCCTCAGCGTGGGGTGTCTGTCCTCTCCTTTCTCTGCCTCCTCCACAGCTCAGGGTGTTTGTGAACACCGTGCACTTCCCGGCCGTCGGCTCTGCACCCCTCAAAATGACCAACAACTT